AACTTTGTCAACTTCTACTAGTGAGAATGGCTGAATTTTAGAGGGACCTGACCTTCCAACGACAACATTCTTACCTCTACTAGTGGGCCCACATCTCACCTCCTGGGGTTATATAAGGCTCCATCCTGTAACTTCTACTCCATATTGTTTTCAGACAACGGAACAATTTTCCCAAAGGGGCTGACCACACTTAAATGTCGTGCGGATAACCTTCGTAAAAACAACATTTCGACCCTTCTTGAATCGAAACGTGGTGGTTACCGTAAGTATCCAGGGCATCTTAGTGTCCTTTTCATAGGCAAGAAGGAAAGTCAGTGGAGGTATGGGAGATTATACAGGTCACTAGACGTAAGAAGAAGGTCAGTGGAGGTAGGGAGAATTATACAGGGTCACTAACGTAAGAAGGAAGGTCAGTGGAGGTATGGGAGATTATACAGGTCACTAGACGTAAGAAGGAAGGTCAGTGGAGGTATGGGAGATTATACAGGTCACTAGACGTAAGAAGGAAGGTCAGTGGAGGTATTGGAGATTACAGTACCATATAGACCACAATGTAAGTTGGAATAGACCCCCCCTTACGAAATGGAACTCACAGCGGTAATTTGAACTCGGAAACAGCAGAGACATGACCACAACATACAAAATACTTACTGGAAAAGCAAGGATATGATAAAAAAACTAGAAACTAAATAGGTTGATTATCTAACATCAATAAAACGACGAACCCCCTGGAAATATGGCTTGGAGAAAGGCGTTCCGAGGGTCAGCGCCCCCGCGGCCCGGTCTATGACCATCTCTCGTTGAACAGTTATAAGACCAGAGCAGATACTGACACACAGCTTCATAACAGAGTACGACAGGTTCAGAACACCAGTCAAGAAGAGAGGGATAACATGCTGATCTGGGAGACGTAACTTCAAGTTATCATACCCAAGTTACTTATAACTTCAAGTTATCATACTCAAGTTACTTATAACTTCAAGTTATCATACTCAAGTTACTTATAACTTCAAGTTATCATACTCAAGTTACTTATAAGATAACTTCAAGTTATCATAACTCAAGTTACTATAAGATAACTTCAAGTTATCATACTCAAGTTATCCTTATAAGATAACTTCAGTTATCAATACTCAAGTTACTTATAACTTCAAGTTACACCCTACTCAAGTTACTTATAACTTCATGTTATCATACTCAAAGTTACTTAATAACTTCGAAGTTATCATACCAAGTACTTATAACTTCAAGTTATCATACTCAGTTACTTATAACTTCAAGTTATCATACTCAAGTTACTTTATAATTCTTCAGTTATCATACTCCAAGTTACTTATAACTTCAAGTTATTCATACTCAAGTTTACTTTATAACTTCAGTTATCAACCTCAAGTTACTTATAACTTCCACGTTATCATACTCAAGTTACTTACAAACTTCAAGTTATCAACTCAGTTACTTATAACTTTAACTTCAAGTTATCATCTCCAAGTTACTTATAAGATAAACCCTTTCCCCCCAAGTTATCATACTCAAGTTACTTATAACTTCAAGTTATCATACTCAAGTTACTTATAACTTCAAGTTATCATACTCAAGTTACTTATAACTTCAAGTTATCATACTCAAGTTACTTATAACTTCAAGTTATCATACTCAAGTTACTTATAAGATAACTTCAAGTTATCATACTCAAGTTACTTATAACTTCAAGTTATCATACTCAAGTTACTTTACAGACTTCAAGTTATCATACTCAAGTTACTTATAACTTCAAGTTATCATATCTCAATTACTTATAACTTCAAGTTATCATACTCAGTTACTTATAACTTCAGTATATCAACCCAAGTTACTTATACTCAAGTTATCATACCCAAGTGAACTTATAAGATAACTTCAAGTTATCATACCCAAGTTACTTATAACTTCAAGTTATCATACTCATAGTTACTTATAACTTCAAGTTTTCATACCCAAGTTATCTTATAACTTCAAGTTATCATACTCCTGTTATACTTATAACTTCAAGTTATCATTACTCAAGTTACTTATAACTTCAAGTTACATACTCAAGTTACTTATAAGATAACTCAAGTTACATACTCAATTACTTATAAGATAACTTCATGTATCATACTCAAGTTACTTATAACTTCAAGTTTATCATACTCAAGTTACTATAACTTCAAGTTATGCATATCCCAAGTTACTTATAAGATAACTTCAGTTATCATACCAAGTTACTATAACTTCAAGTTATCATACTCAAGTTACTTATAACTTCAAGTTATCATACCCCAAGTTACTTATAACACAAGTTATCATACCCAAGTACTTATAACTTCAAGTTATCATACTCAAGTTAAAAACCCTTATAAGATAACTTCAAGTTATCATACTCAAGTTACTTATAACTTCAAAGTTACATACACAAGTTACTTATAACTTCAAGTTATCATACTCAAAGTTACCTTATAAGTAACTTCAAGTTATCATACTCAAGTTACTTTATAAGAAATAACTTCAAGTTTTCATACTCAAGTTGACTTATAACTTCAAGTTATCAACTCAAGTACTTTATAACTTCAAGTTATCCAACTCAGTTACTTAAAACTTCAAGGTTATCATACCAAGTTACTTATAACTTCAAGTTAATCATAACTCAAAGATACATATAACTTCCAAGTTATCATACTCAAGTTACTTATAACTTCAAGTTATCATAGTCAAGTTACCTTATAACTTCAAGTTATCATACACAAGTTACTTATAACTTCAAGTTTTCATACTCAAGTATCTTATAACTTCAAGTTATTCAACTCAGGTTACTTATAACTTCAAAGTTACATACTCAAGTTACTTATAACTTTCCAAGTTATCAATACTCCAAGTTACTTATAACTTCAATTATAATACTCAAGTTACTTATAAGCAACTTCAAGGTTATGCATACTCAATTACTTATAAGGATAACTTCAAGTTATCATACGCAGTTACTTAAAACTTCAAGTTATCATACCAAGTTACTTATAATTAAAGTTACATACCCAAGTTACTTATAACTTCAAGTTATCATAGTCAAGTTACTTATAACTCAAGTTTCATACTCCAAGTTACTTATAACTTCAAGTTATCATAGTCAAGTTACTATAACTCAAGTTATCATAGTCAGTTACTTATAACTCTTCAAGTTATCATAACTCAAGTTACTTATAACTTCAAGTTATCATACTCAAGTTACTTATAACTTCAAGTTATCATACTCAGGTTACTTATAACTTCAAGTTATCATACTCAAGTTACTTATAACTTCAAGTTATCATACTCAAGTTACTTATAACTTCAAGTTATCAAAAATACTCAAGTTACTTATAAGATAACTTTCAAGTTAATCATACTCAAGTTACTTATACTTCAGTTATCAGACTCAAGTTACTTATAACTTCAAGTTATCATACTCAAGTTACTTATTAACTTCAGGGGGAAGTTATTCATACTCAAGTTACTTATAACCTTCAAGTTATCATACTACTCCAAGTACTTATAACTTCAAGTTATCATACTCAAGTTACTTAGTAACTTCAAGTTATCAGTACCCAAGTTACTTATAACTTCAAGTTATCATACCCAAGGTTGACTTATATTCTTCAAGTTATCATACCCAAGTTACTTATAACTTCAAGTTATCATACCCAGTATTACTTATAACTTCAAGTTATCATAACCCAAAGTTACTTATAACTTCAAGTTTAATCAAGTTACTTATAAGATAACTTCAAGTTATCATAGATAAGTTTACCTTATTAAGAATAAACTTCAAGTTATCATACACAAGTTACTTATAAGATAACTTCAGTTATCATACCCAAGTTACTTATAACTTCAAGTTATCATACCCAAGTTACTTATAACTTCAAGTTATCATACTCAAGTTTACATATAACTTCAAGTTTATCATACTCAAGTTTAACTTTTTAGATAACTTCAAGTATCATACTCAAGGTTACTTATAACTCAAGTTACATAGTCAAGTTACTTATAACTTCACGTTATCACCTCAGTTACTTATAAATTCGCCAAGTTATCATAGTAAAGTTACTATAACTTCAAGTATCAAACCAAGTTACTAAATATTTGTAAAGTCGCATCAACTACCCTTGAACACTACCCTACCTCCACTCCTGACAAACATTAGTAAACCACCACTTAATACAACAAAGCTTCCATTTAGACTCCAGACGAGGCCTTCAATAGGATTCAACAGCTGACACTAGAGACGTTGACTGCCACAGAATTCTTCAAAGCCAAATGGTATTGATGACTGGATAGACATTTTTTTCTTAACAAATTTACTTAGACTATACAACAAACATTGTCCTATAAAAATAAAACAATCACAAACAAACGGCTTGGTGCCCATGGGCTAACCAGCACCATTCTGAATCCATTGACAAGAAACACCAATAATGAAAAGCAATATAGACAGAGGCTTAATACACAAAGATATTACTTAAACACTATTCGTCAGTTCTCACCGATATATATATATATATATATATATATATATATAATTATATATATATAATATAAATATATATATATAATAATAAATATATATATAATAGTATAAATATATATAATATATATATTAAAAATATTAATATAAATACTATATAGTATAATAAAATAAAATATATATATATCGTCTATAAAAATATATAAATATATATATATATATATATATATATATATATATATATATTATGTAACTGCCAACATTTCTTTTAACCGATGTATACAGTGTATGAACCAATGTATACTGTATATAAATCATATAAACCAATGTATAAAGTGAAGGAACAAATTTGTATGTTGTATGAAGCGGTGTGTGAAATGTATTAACCAATGTATAAGCTGTATAATTCAATGTGTAGGGGTTATGAATCAATGTATAAGGGTGTATGATGCTGTATATAGATGAGTGTGTGTACAAACAGGTGACGATCGTGGCTGAGGAGAGAAGCAAGTACCTGAGCTGGTCAAGACCTCGTCTGAGACACCTGCTTCACCTCAGACCCTTCCTCAGAGCCATTATACACAACCTTGTAGGTGAGTTCAACCAACCTGTCCTGGACATGCCACGCCTGTCCTAGGCACGTCACACCTGTCCCAGGAACGACACATCTCTCCTAGGAACCCAACACATATACTAGTTGCATAATACCTATCCTGAAAGCACCAAACCTGTCTTAGGAGCACCAAACCTGTCTTAGGAACGCCATACCTGTCCTAGAAGCACCACACCTGTACAGATTATGCCTCTCCTTGTGTTTTTCCCGCTAGGTCAGGCTGTTACCCATCATATATGCTCTCCTCTTCCCCTAATATTAAGTACGTCTAGTTTCATACACCCCTTGTCTAGCATCCCTTCACTAGTATCACCTCCCCCTAGTGTCTAACCTCTCTTACCTACCTCCTATTGTCAACTGTGCTAGACAGACCTATATATATCACTGATACCTGCATTGCAACATCCTGGTCCCGTCGTTGCAAACATCAGGATCTCAGTGTTGCAACACGTGAAGTTCTGGCCTGCGCCCGTGTGCGCCGCTGAATTATTCGCATGCATTACAAACTTCCCAGTGTTGCAGTGTTGCAGCTGGGGATGGTCCAGGTGTTGCAAGATGTGAAGACAGGCAGTGCAGTGTTGCAACTGGGGATGGTCCAGGTGTTGCAAGTTTTGAAACAGGAGGCAGTGCAGCGCGCTGCAGTGTTTGCAACTGGGGATGGTCCCAGGGTTGAAAGATGTGAAGAAGACAGGCAAGTGCAGCAGCGGCAGTGTTGCAACTGGGGATGGTCCAGGTGTTGCAAGATGTGAAGACAGGCAGTGCAGCGCTGCAGTGTTGCAACTGGGGATGGTCCAGTGTTGCTGAGGAGATGTTAAAGACAGCAGTGCAGGTTGCCAGTGTTCAACTGGGATGGTCCAGGTGTTGCAAGATGTGAAGACAGGCAGTGCAGCGCGGCAGTGTTGCAACTGGGGATGGTCCAGGTGTTGCAAAATGTGAAGACAGGGCAGTGCAGCGCTGCAGTGTTTGCAACTGGGGATGGTCCCGGTGTTTGCAAGATGTTAAGACAGGCGGCTGTTTTGCAGTGTTGCAACTGGGGAGGTCCAGGTGTTGCAAGATTGTGAAGACAGCAGTGCAGTGTTGCAACTGGATGGTCAAGGGTGTTTGCAAGATGTGAAGACAGAGGCAGTGCAGTGTTGGCAACTGGGCATGTCCCAGGTGTTGCAAGATGTTAAGACAGCATGCAGCGCTGCAGTGTTGCAACTGGGATGGTCGGTGTTGCAAGATGAAGACAGGCATGCAGTGTTGCAACTGGGGATGGTCCAGGTGTTGAGGATGTAAGACAGGCAGTACAGTGTTTGCAACTGGGATGTCCAGGGTGTTTGCAGGATGATAAGACAGGCAGTGCAGTGTTTGCAACTGGGGATGGTCCAGGTGTTGCAAGATGTTTTAGACAGGCAGTGCAGTGTTGCCGTGTTGCAATGCTGGGGATGGTCCAGTGTTGCAGATGTTAAGACAGGCAGTGCAGCGCTGCAGTGTTGCAACTGGGGATGGTCCAGGTGTTGCAAGATGTTAAGACAGGCAAGTGCAGCGATGCAGTGGTTGCAACTGGGGTGGTCCAGGTGTTTGCAAGATGTTAAGACAGGCAGTGCATGTTGCAACTGGGAATGGTCCCAGGTGTTGCTAATGTGAAGACAGCAGTGCAGTGTTGCAACTGGGGATGGTCAAGGTGTTGCAAGATGTTAAGACAGCAGTTGCAGCCTGCAGTGTTGCAACTGGGATGTCTCAGGTGTTGCAAGATGTTAAGACAGGGCAGTGCAGTGTGCAACTGGGGATGGTCCAGGTTTGCAAGATGTGAAGACAGGCAGTGCAGCGGCTGCAGTGTTGCTACTGGGGATGGTCCAGTTTTTGCAAGATGTTAAGACAGGCAGTGCAGTGGTTGCAACTGGGGATGTCCAGGTGTTGCAAGATGTGAAGGACAGCAGTGCAGTGTTGCAACTGGGATGGTCAAGGTGTTTGCAAGAAGTTAGACAGGCAGTCAGCGCTGCAGCGGATGCAACTGGGGATGGTCCAGTGTTGCAAGGATGTTAAGACAAGGGCAGTGGCAGAGATATGGGCAGTGTTGGCAACTGGGATGCCCAGGTGTTGCAAGATTAAGACAGGCAGTGGCAGCGCTGCAGTGTTGCCACTGGGGATGGTCCAGGTGTTGGCAAGATGTTTAAGACAGGCAGTGCAGTGTTTGCAACTGGGGATGGTCCAGTGTTGCAAGATGTGAAGACAGCAGTGCAGTGTTGCAACTGGGGATGGGTCCAGGTGTTGGCAAGATGTTAAGACAGGCATGCAGTGTTGGGCAACTGGGATGGTCCAGGTTGTTCAAGATGATAAGACAGGCAGTGGAGTGTTGCAACTGGGTGATGGTCGCAGTGTTGCAAGATGTGGAAGACAGGCAGTGCAGCGCTGCAGTGTTGCAACTGGGATGGTCAAAGGTGTTTTTGCAAGAATGTGACTACAGGCAGTGCTGTTGCAATACTGGGGGATGGTCCAAGGTGTTGCAAGATGTGATGACAGGCAGTGCAGTGTTGCAACATGGATGGTCCAGGTTGTTTGTCAAGATTAAGACAGGCATGTGCAGTGTTATGCACTGGGGATGTCCAGGTGGTTGCAAGATGTTAAGACAGGCAGTGCAGCGCTGCGAGTGTTGCAACTGGGGATGGTCCAGGTGTTGCAAGATGTCAGACAGGCAGTGAGGTGTTTGCAAACTGGGGATGGGTCAAGGTGTTGCAAGATGTTAGACAGGCAGTGCAAGTGTTGCAACTGGGTGATGGTCCAGTGTTGCAAGATGTTAAGACAAGGCAGTGCAGTGTGTTGCAACCTGGGGATGGTCCAGGTGTTGCAAGATGTTAAGACAGGCATTGCAGCGTTGCAACTGGGATGGTCCAGTGTTGCAAGATGTTTAGACAGGCTGTGCAGCGGCGCTGGCAGTTTGCAACTGGGATGGTCCAGTGTTGCAAGGATGTGAAGACAGGAGGCAGTGCAAGTGATTGCAACTGGGGATGGTCAAGGTGTTGCAAGATGTGAAGACAGGCAGTGCAGTGTTGCAACGTGGGGATGGTCCCAGGTGTTTGCAAGATGTTTAAGACAGGCAGTGCAAGCCTGCAGTGTTGCATACTGGCGGAGTCAAGGTTTTGCAAGATGTGAAGACAGGCAGTGCAGTGTTGCAACTGGGGATGGTCAAGGTGTTGCAAGATGTGAAGACAGGCAGTGCATTGTTGCAACTGGGGATGGTCCAGGAGTGTTGAAGATTAAACCAGGCAGTGCAGCGCTGCAGTGTTGCAACTGGGGATGGTCCAGTGTTGCAAGATGTTAAGACAGGCAGTGCAGGTTGCAACTGGGGATGGTCTACCAGGTGTTGCAAGATTATAAGACAGGCTGCAGTGTTTTGCAACTGGGGATGGTCCAGGTGTTGCAAGATGTGAAGACCGGCAGTGCTGTGTTGCAACTGGCATGGTCCAGGTGTTGCAAGATGTTAAGACACAGTGCAGCGTCTGCAGTGTTGCAACTGGGGATGGCCAGGTGTTGGCAAGATGTTTAAGACAGGCAGTTGCAGTGTTGCAACTGGGGATGGTCCAGGTGTTGCAGATGTTAAAACAGGCAGTGCAGTGTTGCAACTGGGGATTGTCCAGGTGTTGCAGGATGTTAAGACGGCAGTGCAGTGTTGCAACTGGGGATGGTCCAGGTGGGTTGCAAGAATGTTAAGACAGGCAGTGCAGTGTTGCAGTGTTGGCAATCTGGGGATGGTCCGGTGTTGCAAAGATGTTAAGACAGGCATGCAGCGCTGCAGTGTTGCAACTGGGGATGGACCAGGTGTTGCAGAGATGTTAAGACAGCAGTGCAGACCTGCAGTGTTTGCAACTGGGGATGGTCCAGGTGTTTTGCAAGATGTTAAGACAGGCAGTGCAGTGTTGCAATGGGGATGGCCAGTGTTGCAAGATGTGAAGACAGGCAGTGCAGTGTTGCAACTGGGGATGGTCCAGGTGTTGCAAGATGTTAAGACAGGCAGTGCAGCGCTGCAGTGTTGCAACTGGGGGATGGTCCCAGGTGTTGCAAATTTAGACAGGCAGTTCAGGTGTTTGCAACTGGGGATGGTCCAGTGTTGCAAGATGTGAGACAGCAGTGCAGCGCTGCAGTGTTGCAACATGGGGATGGTCCCGGTGTTGCAATATGTTAAGACCGGCATGCGTGTTTGCAATTGGGGTGGTCCAAGTGTTGCCAGAAGTGAAGACAGGCAAGTGCAGTGTTGCAACTGGGGATGGTCAAGGTGGGTTGCAAAGATGATAAGACAGGCAGTGCAGCGCTGCAGTGTTGCAACTGGGGATGGTCCAGGTGTTGCAAGATGTTAAGAACAGCATGTGCAGTGTTGCAGTGTTCAAACTGGGGATGGTCCAGGTGTTGCAAGATGTTGAGAGACAGGCAGAGTGCAGCGCTGCAGTGTTTTGCAACTGGGTAATGGTCCAGTGTTACAAGATGTTAAGACAGGCAGTGCCAGTGTTCAACTGGGGATGGTCAGTGTTGCAAGATGTGAGAACAGGCAGTGCATTGTTGCAACTGGGATGGTCCAGGTGTTGCAAGAGTTAAAGACAGGCCCAGTGCAGTGTTGCAACTGGGGATGGTCCGGTGTTGGCAAGATGTTAAGACAGCAGTGCAGTGTTGCAACTGGGGATGGGCCAGTGTTGCAAAGATGTGAAGACAGGCATTGCAGCGCTGCATGTTGGCAAACTGGGGATGGTCAAGGTGTTGCACAAGGATGTGAAGACAGGCAGGTGCAGGTTTCACTGGGATGGTCAAGGTGTGCAAGATGTGAAGACAGGCAGTGCATGTTGCAACTGGGGATTGTCCAGGTGTTTGCAAGATTTAAGAGCAGAGCATGCAGTGTTGGGCAACTGGGGATGGTCCAGGTGTTGCAAGATGTTTAGACAGGCAGTGCAGCGCTGCAGTGTTGCAACAGGGGATGGTCCAGTGTTGCAAGAAAATTTGGGTCAAGACAGGCAGTGCGTGTTGCACCTGGGGATGGTCAAGGTGTTGCAAGATGTTAAACAGGCAGTGCAGTGTTGCAACCTGGGGATGGTCCAGGTGTTGACAAGATGGTTAGACAGGCATGCAGTGTTTGCAACTGGGGATGGTCCAGGTGTTGCAAGATGTTAAGACAGGCAGTGCATTGTTGCAACAGGGTGATGGTCCAGTGTTGCAAATGTTAGGACAGGCGGTGCAGAAGCCTGCAGTGTTTGCAACTGGGGAATGGTCCAGGTGTTGCAAGATGTGAAGACAGGCAGTGCAGTGTTGCAACTGGGGAATGGTCAAGGTGTTGCAAGATGTGAAGACAAGTCAGTGCAGTGTTTGCAACTGGGGATGGTCCAGGTGTTTCAAGATGTTAAGACAGGCAGTGCAAGAAGCGCTGCAGTGTTGCAACTGGGATGGTCAAGGTGTTGCAAGATGTGAAGACCCGGCAGTGCAGTGTGGCAACTGGATGGTCAAGGTTTGCAAAATGTGAAGACAGCAGTGCAGTGTGCAAGCACGGGATGGTCCAGTGTTGCAAGATGTTTAAGACAGGCAGTGCAGGCGCTGCAGTGTTGCAACTGGGGATGGTCCCCGGTGTGCAAGATGTTAAGATCAGGCAGTGCACAGTGGTTGCAACTGGGGATGGTCCAGGTGTTGCAAGATGTTAAGACAGGCCAGTGGCAGTGTTGCAACTGGGGATGGTCCAGGTTGTTGCAAGATATGTGAAGACAGGCAGTGCAGTGTTGCAACAGGGGATGGTCACAGGTGTTTCAAGATGTTAAGACAGGCAGTGCAGCCTGCAAGTGTTGCAACTGGGGATGGTCCAGGTGTTAGCAAGATGGTTAAGACAGGCCAGTGCAGCGCTGCAGTTGCAACTGGGATGGTCCAGGTTTTTCAAAAGATGTGAAGACAGAGCAGTGCAGTGTTGGGCAACTGTGAATGGTCCAGGTGTTGCAAGATGGTGAAGACAGGCAGTGAAGTGTTGCAACTGGGAATGTGTCCCGGGGTTGCAAGATGTGAAACAGCAGTGCCAGAGTTGCAACTGGGGTGGTCCAGGTGTTTGCAAGATGTTAAGAAACAGGCATGCAGGTTGCAAACTGGGGATGGTCCAGGTGTTGCAAGATGTAAACAGGCAGTGCAGTGTTGCAACTGGATGGTCAAGGTGGCATTGGGACTCAAGATGTTAAGACAGTGCAGGCAGTGTTGGCAACTGGGGCTGGTCAAGGTTTGGGCAAGATGTGAAGACAGGTCAGTGCAGTGTGGCAACTGGGATGGTCAAGGTGTGCAAAGATGTGAAGACAGGCAGTGCAGTGTTGCCAACGGGATGTGCAGGTGTGCAAGATTTTAAGACAGGCAGTGCAGCGCTGCATGTGTTTGCAACTGGTATGGTCCAGGTGTTGCAAGATGTGAAGACAGGCAGTGCAGTGTTGCAACTGGGGATGGTCCAGGTGTTGCAAGATGTGAAGACAGGCAGTGCAGTGTTGCAACTGGGGATGGTCAAGGTGTTGCAAGATGTTAAGACAGGCAGTGCCCAGTGTTGCAACTGGGATGGTCAAGGTGTTTGCAAGATGATAAGACAGGCAGTGCAGCGCTGCAGTGTTGCAACTGGGGATGGGGTCCAGGTGTTGCCAAGATGTGAAGACAGAAGGCATGCAGTGTTGGGCAGTGTTGCACTGGGATGGTCCCAGTGTTGCAAGATGTTTAAGACAGCAGTGCAGCGCTGCAGTGTTTGCAACTGGGATGGTCCAGGGTGTTGCAAGATGTTAAGGAACAGGCAGTGCAGTGTTGCAACTGGGGATGGTCCAGTGTTTGCAAGATGTTAAGACAGGCCAAGTGCCGTGTTTGCAACTGGGATGGTCCAGGTGTTGCAAGGATGTAAGACAGCAGTGCAGTGTGCAACTGGGGATGGTCCCGGTGTTGCAAGATGTTAAGACAGGCAGTTGCAGTGTTGCAACTGGGGATGGTCCAGGTGTTGCAAAGATAAGACTGGCAGTGCAGTGTTGCAACTGGGGATGGTCCAGGTGTTTGCAAGAATGTTAAGACAGGCAGTGCAGCGCTGCAGTGTTGGCAACTTGGGGATGGTCGAGGTGTTCAAGATGTTAAACAGGCAGTGCAGTGTTTGCAACTGGGGATGGTCCAGTGTTGCAAGATGTAAGACAGCAGTGCAGCGCTGTCAGTGTTGCAACTGGGGATGGTCCCCCCGAGGAGTGTTGCAAGATTGTTAAGACAGGCAGGTGGCAGCGCTGCAGTGTTGCAACTGGGGATGGCAGGTGTTGCAAGATGTTTAAGGACAGCAGTGCAGCGCTGCAGTGTTGCAACTGGGGATGGTCCGAGGTGTTGCCAAGATGTAAGACAGCAGTGCAAAGCGCTTGCAGTGTTGGCAACTGGGGATGGTCCAGGTGTTTGCCAAGAGTTGTGAAGACAGGCAGTGGCAGCGCTGCAGTGTTTGCACTGGGGATGGTCCAGGTGTTGCAAGATGTTAAGACAGGCAGTGCAGCGCTGCAGTGTTTGCAACTGGGGATGGTCAGGTGTTGCAAGATGTAAGACAGGCAGTGCAGCGCTGCATGTTGCAACTGGGGATGGTCCAGGTGTTGCAAGATGTTAAGACAGGCAGTGCAGCGCTGCAGTGTTGCAACTGGGGATGGTCCAGGTGTTGCAAGATGTTAAGACAGGCAGGCAACGCTGCAAGAGTTGCAACTGGGGATGGTCCAGGTGTTGCAAGATGTTAAGACAGGGCAGTTCAGTGGTATGCAACTGGATGGTCCCAGGTGTTGCAAGATGTTAAGACAGGCAGTGCAAGTGTTGCAACTGGATGGTCCAGGTGTTGCAAGATGTTAAGACAGCAAGTGCAAGCGCTGCAGCCTAGTCCTTAAAAAGTATTATTATTATTATTATTATTATTATTATTATTATTATTATTATTATTATTATCGCTATTATTAAAGTAGATATTATTTATTATTGCTGTTACTATTATTATCATTATTACCGGAATTATTATTAATGTAAATTATTATTATATAATTATTATTATATATTTTTAATATTATTATTATTATTAATTTGAATGAAGAGGGAAGGTGATCGTGTATGCGTCGTGTAGACTTGTAGAGGGTAAGGGTAGGGAGGCAGTCAGGAGTTGATCTAGCTGTAGTTTCCCCGGATTCCAAAACCCTGGTCAGTCCCCTCCCCTCCCCCTCAATATACCCAAGCACTCACTAGTGTTGCCTGCGGGAGGTGTGTTGAGAGTGTTGCCTGCTGGGAGGTGTGTTGAGAGTGTTGCCTGCTGGGAGGTGTGTTGAGAGTGTTGCCTGTACCGTTGCAGGCAAGGACATCACCACCAAGCTGTACTCCCTGAACGAACAACTGGGTGTGGGTACCATCGGTGGGGAGGGCGTGCGTGGCGTGGGCGCCCAGGACTGTGGAGAGGCGTGGTTTTTTTTTTCAACGCTCATGAGCGGGACAACGTACACACAGGCACCAAAGGCTTCGTTAGGTCCCTGGCCTGGCGCACCTCTAACAGAAGAACCTCCACGACTTACTGCGAGAGTGTCAGTGAGTAGCCCCTCTCTTCTCTTCACTTTCTCTCTTCTTCATTCCTTCATCCTCTTACTTCTGTTTCTTCAGCTTCCTTAATATCCATCATCTTCCTTCATCTTCCTTCACTGCAATTAACTTCAAAAACTCACATTGTCAACAAGCCTACCCACGTTTTTTTTTTTTTTAAGTCACGCAGAAAATTTCATTTAAAATATATAAATAACCTTGGAAGGAGAGATGGAAGTTGACATGAGCCACGTTGATGGATGTGACATGTCAGTCTACCACTGACATGACCTTCACACAGAACATGGATGTGACCAGGGCCGGACTAAGACATGGGTTTCAGGGGTTGGAGCCCAGGGGCTGGATACAGCTGGATGGGCCTCCAGGGACTGGAACTTAGGGGCTGGATCCAGATCTAGGGCCCTCCCCCTCCAGGGGCTGGAACCCTAAGGGACTCACAATACCTGATATGCCCAGGGACCTACAAAATCTTAATCCGGGGGGGGGGGGGGGGGGGGGGGGGGGTGGGGGGGAGGGGTGCGGTGGGGGGGGGGCGGGGGGGGCTGTGGATGTGATCCAGAGCCAGTTTCCATCTGTACTCAGGAGCACCTCAGTTTGGGGCGGTAGCAGAGGATAGTGGCTGGCCGGTACTGGTGATTGTGAAAGTTAAACATCAGTTTTAATGTCATTGTAACAATCAGCTGACTTTATTGTTTGCTAATCAACTGGCCCAGCTAAGCCTGTTCCATATTTTCAAGTCCGTTAAATCCAGTGTGTGACTTAAGCAAAACAACAAACTTACATACACTCAGGACATCTCTGTGTATACGGTGTGGTACTGGGTCCATGGTCACTTTAAGTCCCTGGTCACTCTATTAGGTCCCTGGTCACTCTATTAGGTCCCTGGTCACCATACACTCAGGACATCTCTGTGTATACGGTGTGGTACTGGGTCCATGGTCACTCTATTAGGTCCCTGGTCACTCCATTAGGTCACTGTCTGGTCACTCCATTTAGAGTGATCACGGTCACACAGGAGTAACGGGTATCCAGTAATCAATGTTCGGCAGGAGTGACATGTATCCAGTAATCAAGGTCACGGGAGTAACAGGTATCCAGTAATCAAGGTCACGAGAGTAACAGGTATCCAGTAATCAAGGTCACGGGAGTAACAGGTATCCAGTAATCAAGGTCACGGGAGTAACAGGTATCCAGTAATCAAGGTCACACAGGAATGACAGGTGTCTAGTAATCAAGGTCCAGCAGGAGTGACAGGTATCCAGTAATCAAGGTCCAGCAGGAGTGACAGGTATCCAGTAATCAAGGTCACAGGAGTGACAGGTATCCAGTAATCAAGGTCACAGGAGTGACAGGTATCCAGTAATCAAGGTCACAGGAGTGACAGGTATCCAGTAATCAAGGTCACAGGAGTGACAGGTATCCAGTAATCAAGGTCCATCAGGAGTGACAGGTATCCAGTAATCAAGGTCCATCAGGAGTGACAGGTATCCAGTAATCAAGGTCCATCAGGAGTGACAGGTATCCAGTAATCAAGGGTCCATTCAGGAGTGACAAGTATCCAGTAATCAAGGTCCATCTGGAGTGACAGGTATCCAGTAATCAAGATCACAGGATTGACAGGTATCCAGTAATCAAGGTCACAGGAGTGACAGGTATCCAGTAATCAAGGTTCAGTATGAGTGACAGGTATCCAGTAATCAAGGTCCAGCAGATGTGACATATCCAGTAATCAAAGTCACAGGAGTGACAGGTATCCAGTAATCAAGGTCACAAGAGTGACATATCCAGTAATCAAGGTCCCACATGAGTAATCAAGGTCCCACATGAGTAATCAAGGTCCCACATGAGTAATCAAGGTCCCACAGGGTAACAGGTATCCAGTAATCAAGGTCACATGAGTGATCAAGGTCCTCAGTGTTTTCACTTCTGTGCTTTCCAGCCATATTTTTAGTGTCAGTATACTTTCTACCTTCCTTTACCCCCCCCCCCTTCCTTCCTCCTCCCAGTACTGCTAGTCTTCCTCCTTATTCTTAAGGGTCTTCCTACACGCTGTATACATCAACAGTGATCTAATGTTTCTAAGAGTTTCTGGTATGTACACAGTGTTCGTTTGTGCACATGGTGTTTGTGTGTGCACATGGTGTTATGGTGAGTAGTAGTCTCATGAAGCACATGCACTGTGCACCGCCTGCAGTAGCACAACTCAGTAGTGCGTGCACACGGTCTAGAGGTGCACACATTGTCTAGCAGTATCTACACTGTCTAGCAGTGCACACGATCTAGTAGTGTGTACACTAGCAGCATGCACACATACTAGTAGTGTGCACACGAACTCGTAGAGTGTGCACATTTTAGTGAACACAAATCGTCATCCGTACAGGACCACTTAGTTTATTAGTTTGTGCACTTAGCGGCCACTTAATGTACACGGCCCTTAGTTTGTGCACATAGCGGCCATTTAGTGTACACGGCCCTTAGTCCCTGCACATAAAGATCATTTAGTGTACACGGCCCTTAGTCCCTGCACATAAAGATCATTTAGTGTACACGGCCCTTAGTCCCTGCACATAAAGATCATTTAGTGTATACAAACGGCCCCTTAGTCCCTGCACATAAAGATCATTTAGTGTACACGGCCCTTAGTCCCTGCACATAACGGTCCCTTAGTGTACACTGTCGCCTATTGCACACACGCACAGCATCTTGCTAGACGATAAATTTGTTGATGCATCGTCCAGGAGATGACGGAGGCTAGTGGTGTAAGGGGTGCATCTTTCCAGCACAACCTGAGATGTGACGGGAGTCTGGCTTGGGTACACTGCACATACCGACAAATACCACACTTAAATGTCGTGCGGATAACCTTCGTAAAAACAACATTTCGACCCTTCTTGAATCGAAACGTGGTGGTTACCGTAAGTATCCAGGGCATCTTAGTGTCCTTTTCATAGGCAAGAAGGAAAGTCAGTGAGGTATGGGAGATTATAACCAGTGGTCACTAGACTAAGAAGAAGGTCAGTGGAGGTAGGGAGAATTATACAGGGTCACTAACGTAAGAAGGAAGTCAGTGGAGGTATGGGAGATATAAGGTCACTCTAGACGTAAGAAGGGAAGGTCAGTGGAGTTGGGAGATTATACAGGTCACTAGACGTAAGAAGGAAGGTCGTGGAGGTATTGGAGATTACAGTACCATATAGACCACAATGTAAGTTGGAATAGACCCTCCCTTACGAAATGGAACTCACAGCGGTAATTTGAACTCGGAAACAGCAGAGACATACCACAAACATACAAAATACTTACTGGAAAAGCAAGGATATGATAAAAAAACTAGAAACTAAATAGGTTGATTATCTAACATCAATAAAACGACCCCTGGAAATATGGCTGGAGAAAGGCGTTCCGAGGGTCAGCGCCCCCGCGGCCCGGTCTATGACCATCTCTCGTTGAACAGTTATAAGACCAGAGCAGATACTGACACACAGCTTCATAACAGAGTACGACAGGTTCAGAACACCAGTCAAGAAGAGAGGGATAACATGCTGATCTGGGAGACGTAACTTCAAGTTATCATACCCAAGTTACTTATAACTTCAAGTTATCATACTCAAGTTACTTATAACTTCAATTTATCATACTCAAGTTACTTAAACTTCAAGTCATCATACTCAAGTTACTTGATAAGATAACTCAAGTTATCATAACTCAAGTTACTATAAGATAACTTCAAGTTATCATACTCAAGTTATCCTTATAAGATAACTTCAGTTATCAATACTCAAGTTACTTATAACTTCAAGTTACACCCTACTCAAGTTACTTATAACTTCATGTTATCATACTCAAAGTTACTTAATAACTTCGAAGTTATCATACCAAGTACTTATAACTTCAAGTTATCATACTCAGTTACTTATAACTTCAAGTTATCATACTCAAGTTACTTTATAATTCTTCAGTTATCATACTCCAAGTTACTTATAACTTCAAGTTATTCATACTCAAGTTTACTTTATAACTTCAGTTATCAACCTCAAGTTACTTATAACTTCCACGTTATCATACTCAAGTTACTTACAAACTTCAAGTTATCAACTCAGTTACTTATAACTTTAACTTCAAGTTATCATCTCCAAGTTACTTATAAGATAAACCCTTTCCCCCCAAGTTATCATACTCAAGTTACTTATAACTTCAAGTTATCATACTCAAGTTACTTATAACTTCAAGTTATCATACTCAAGTTACTTATAACTTCAAGTTATCATACTCAAGTTACTTATAACTTCAAGTTATCATACTCAAGTTACTTATAAGATAACTTCAAGTTATCATACTCAAGTTACTTATAACTTCAAGTTATCATACTCAAGTTACTTTACAGACTTCAAGTTATCATACTCAAGTTACTTATAACTTCAAGTTATCATATCTCAATTACTTATAACTTCAAGTTATCATACTCAGTTACTTATAACTTCAGTATATCAACCCAAGTTACTTATACTCAAGTTATCATACCCAAGTGAACTTATAAGATAACTTCAAGTTATCATACCCAAGTTACTTATAACTTCAAGTTATCATACTCATAGTTACTTATAACTTCAAGTTTTCATACCCAAGTTATCTTATAACTTCAAGTTATCATACTCCTGTTATACTTATAACTTCAAGTTATCATTACTCAAGTTACTTATAACTTCAAGTTACATACTCAAGTTACTTATAAGATAACTCAAGTTACATACTCAATTACTTATAAGATAACTTCATGTATCATACTCAAGTTACTTATAACTTCAAGTTTATCATACTCAAGTTACTATAACTTCAAGTTATGCATATCCCAAGTTACTTATAAGATAACTTCAGTTATCATACCAAGTTACTATAACTTCAAGTTATCATACTCAAGTTACTTATAACTTCAAGTTATCATACCCCAAGTTACTTATAACACAAGTTATCATACCCAAGTACTTATA